CTTATATTCAACTAGACCCTCCCTTTCCTTGGCGAGGGGAATTCAACTTTACAACCCCGTTCTCTCCAAACAATTTCAACTCACATTCGTCGAAGCCTCCTTAACTCCCTAAGAAAGTAATTTCCAATCCGAGCTTCTCAAAAAAAGATCCCAAGGTCAGGCTCCAGCCATATCCATTTTCTCGGTACTTCAACTTATCAGCTAACTCACTCAGCTCTCCCTTCAATTAAGCCCCACTTCCCCTTTTCCCTAACTTTTATTCCCACACCCCTTCATAGATTCATGTTCTTCTCCCCACAGAACACATTACTAATATTAGGAAAGAGGTTCTCATCTGAAGTTCTTCAGGAGAAAAACAAAAACTTTCGACATATCCTCAAACAGTTACTCCCACCACCCCGAACTGCTATATTATCGTCTCAACCCGTTCCCCAACTGCCCATCCTCGCATTCTACTCTTTTCGACCTTCCCTCGTCATTCCCCTCGTCATCCCCTTGACAATTTGCTCAAAAGCAGTTCTATATAGTCCCGTCCTTAGCTTCTAAGAGAGGTAAGGAGGTTTCTCGTTTATGCCCACAATTTTGAATTACTACTTAAACATCTCAACCCATTCGTGAAGTACCCACTCACCCATTTTACCCCTTCTCTCATTATTTCCTCCTCTCCGTCCCCTACGTCGTTTGCTCGAATATGATATTCTCTGATATTCTCGGATATTCTTTTATCGCTACCCCTTCTGACTTATCCTGAGCTAGCTTGACTTTCCTCATTCACTTACCTTGGTTAATGCAGGGTCAGAAGCAACGGTACGATCCTACCATTTATTCTACGACCCTCTTAGAGGATGACTTACCACAAATCCATTCTTTTGCAGAAATCTAAACATTCCCCCATGAACCTTCCCCAGTTACCAGAGTAACCTCAAACCCTAATAGACTGCTCTCTCTCAACCCTCCCCTCAGAAGTACGTGAAAGAATTGCTTGAAGAATGGCACTCCTGAACCCTATACCTCTGTGAACTACGACTTCATTCTCTATTCACAACCGTAGATTACAAAGCCTTCTCAAACAATACCCAGATACTACGAATTTTTAAGCACTACCTCTTCCCCTCTCGCTTTCAAGCACAAGCTCCTCCCTCCCCCCACCCTCCCCTTGAGGTTCTCCTAGAAAGTCACCACTTTAATTCTTATGTGAACAACATCCACCGTAAATTTTGAAGCGCTACCTCTCCCTCTCTGGCCCCTCAAGCATACCTCGCCCTCTCTCCCCGCTCACCCCATAAGGTCTTCCTAAGAAGTCACCCTCTTCCTAAGTCACCCCTCCCGTCCTATATGAAATAAGCACCCTTGGGCTCTTGTTGAGCCCACCTAAGTCATTTCCTTGAAGAAAAGCCTGTCTTAGCCGCAAATACCACTAAATACCACCTCCCTACCTGAGTGCATTCCCCAGATAATCAAGCCCACTTAAATGTCCTTCGAACACTGCATTTCTCTAGCCCGCCCTCCCGTTCCAGCTTTCTGAGAAACTCGTTTACTTGAGTATTAATTTGAATAGCCAAATGCCCCAAATTGGAAGGACAAACCCCAATCCGATCTTTCCCTCCCCAATCCTGAACTTCTTCTGACCCCACTTCTGACCCTGCATTTTATAAAAATAAACACAAATCAAGTCACCCACTCCCATACATACCATCACACCTGATCATTCACCCTTGCCTAGTTCCAATACAAGTACAACATTACATAAAAGAGGGCGGTCTCGAAGACAGAGCCTCCTCTAACTTTTGGTTCAGTACACTATGAGCAGACTCTGTCTCCAAGACCTACAACGAGAAACAAACTCTTTATGAGCACCGAACAAAAATCGATAA